CCTTTGCCGCCCGATGATCTTCATGGACTCGGCGCGTCCTTCGATCGCACGATTGATTAATTGCTTTCCATTAGATCACATGTCCTGATCAAAGGTTACACGCGAAACTCGTCACGGACTCGAAAAAAGACACTGACATTCTCAGATCCTCTCTCCACAGTTGCGTTCGGCACAGCTCGGTCGCCGTGGGACACTCGGGTGATGGTTTCTGTATTTTCATGTCGACATTCGGACGGACGAGTTTCACAAAACGCACTTTTTTTTTTTTTTCTTTACAAATCTACAGACATTTCCACTTTGTTAGATCAAAGTGACCTGGCGGGTCATTGGGATGATCTTTGCTCGTACTCGCTGCAGAGCACGAGGTTCAACCTGGTTGCACTGCAGGTTTTACGGATCTGCGAATTAAATAATCTAATCAGGCCGTATTTCAGGGTTTCGATTTTAATAAATTCTGACACTTACGGATTCTGAAATAGGTGTTGTCTCATCTTTGCCACAGTCATCACGCAAATTGCCGGACAGAGATAAGAAATCATATTGACGCGTGGGACAGATTATATAGGACAAAAGTAAAAGTAACTTCCAGAAAGTGCAAAGACGGTCACGCGAGTGAATCTTTACGAAGCGTACAAATTTGGAAAAGTCGAGACGACGTGATTTCGAATTTTGATGTTGAAAATACACAGATGCCGGAACGTTCCTTTTTGAAAACAACCGCACGTGCATCGGCCGCCGAGCGGAATAAGTTTCAGCGAATCCTCGGACTCCGACTGGCACAGAGTCTGCTCCATTTAACGGAGCGTTTCAGTAAGCGAGCACGAATTATCCCAAGAAATTAGTTCTAGTGAATGCGAGGTTGGGAGTTCAGGTTGGGAGGCGCTTAGAGTCGAGAGGAAGCCGATATCGCGTGATGGACGGACTCATCCACACTCACGTATCGACCATAAGTGCCACTTAGGTACAGCTTGGGAGGAACAGAGGAACAGAGGAACAGAGGAACAGAGGAATATGGGAACATGGGAACATCCTACCACAAGAGGGTCAGTACTAAGCGCCGACGTCGCTCCGAAATAGGATCTCAGATTATCCTTTGATTTTTGCGAAATAAACTTGAGAATCTTCAGTTTCAGGCGCCACTCCGAAGGATCCGCAATTGCAGCGGCGAAGGAGGACGTCAAAGTGCAGCGTAGGAGTGGATGCTGGAATAAATATAGGCTGCTAGGAATACAAGGTGGAGCATCAAGAAAGGAGATCGCAAGTAAAGATCGCAACGGAGTCGAGCGACGGTTCATTTTCACCTGGGTTACCTTCGGCACACAATCATCCGCCATTAGCGCGTCTACAAAAATGGCAAAAGCATAGAATATCCCTTTACATGGCACAAAAGGCCGTGCCAGGCATATAGCGGCAAGCAGCGGCGCGGATCACGAAACCGTGATCTCCCGGGATGATCCGAGGATCGAGGCAGGATCGCGCACGGCCGCGCTAGATCTCGAGCAACGATCGGCTCGCTCGGTACGATCTTTTCCTTTCTCGATCTTTCTCTTCCTCTCCCTCTCCCTCCCGGCTCTCTATTTCTCGCGGCTCTCCTTCTGTTCTCTCGGATCTACGCGTGGATCCTGCAAAGGGGGCGAACGGACCCTGGACGCCCTCTCGGTGAAATACCGAAAGCCGAAAGCCGAACGCCGAACGCCGCGGCGCCCATTATCAAATTATTCACTCACACCGTGCGCCATCTATCTTCGGCCAACGCGATCATAACGTGTTATTATTTGATCCTCACTTTGTTAGCGATCTGACTCTAACTGCTCGCGATCCCTGCTAGATCCTGCTCAGAGATCTGGAGTACTTCTCACGATCTCGAGACGAGAGCAACGCTCGCCTTCCTCTTCTGGAAATTCTTCGCTGCCTTCTCCTCCTTCTCCTCCTCTTCTTCTTCTTCTTCTTCATCGCTCTCCGATATTTCTACATCTACTTACATATTATCCCGTCGCCATCTTCATGGAGAGACCGATCCTTTCGAATGATCCGTGTCGAAGGTTCATGCACGTCCTGACGGATGAACTGTCTATCCTCTTGAAGAATCGTCTTCGCCTCCGTGCGATCCATGGATCACAAAAAGAACGTATACATGACATTGACGCGTCAGTTTCTAGATCTCATTTTGCGCGTCCTACGTTAATTACCCTGCCGATGGAATTTTAAGATTAATTAACCTGATCCTGAGGAACGTTGACGTTATGGAAATATAATTAGGGTTAACGGTCGATATATTTGTGCTCGCATTCGCATCCTTTTGCGGAGGTCAGAGGTCCGACAGAAGGAGATGTTAAACTTCTTCTGGCGACTGTTGATCGACTTTTAATTACTTCTCTTGAAGATGCCTGATTCATAATCTGTCCAGGACCAAACTGAAGCGGGACTCTTTACGAAGAAGGAAATGGACGTCGTGGGAGCCTCGAGCAGGATGTCGCGGAAGGATTGAAATCCCTACGGAAGGACAACGTGTTTCTTCATTGAATCCGAATAGCGGCTCATCAGCAAGATCAGAGAGTCTGGCGAGTCTCTTGTTCTCCGATCATCAGCATATCTCTCCCATAACTCTGTAGCATTAGTACCAGCAATGATTTCACGCTTAATCGTTCATTTTCCGCGGCTAATCAGCCTTTTTTTTTCACGTCGCACAATTTGCCCGCGATGGAGCCGCGATGGAGCCTCGATGCACAATTATCCGTATTTATATTGCCGCTCGGCTCTAATTGCCTTGTGTAATTCTCATAATCGTAAATACACGCGTCAAAAGGTGTTGAAACCCCCAGCACACCTCAAGGAGCTGCGAGGAGCGATAAATAAATCACGGCCAGCGAGATACGTAATCTAATTCCGCGATATGGGTAGCGAGAGGCTCGAACCGACCTCTCGAAGAAAAGGAGGAAAAAGGCCGAGGAGAAGGTACACGATCATCCTTACATTGCCAGTGGCTCACCGATGCATTGCCTCCACTGGCTCCACTGGCTCCACTGGCTCCACCGCCTAACGTAATCCTTGAGCGTTGCGTATCGGCTCAAGTATTTCAGGAGAATAAGGTTCTACTTTGCATAAAAATACTTGATCCTTTTACACGATACACTGGAACAAGCGTCGAGCGCCGAATGTCTAATTCTTGCTTTGTTCTTGCCTCCCTAGGTAAGAGAGGAAAAAAAAAGTTGGAAAATAGAAAGGAAGATCCTGCCACCATCTCGGGGATCGCTTTGCACGAGAGAATCCTTGCGACTCGCAGCCGTCACTGAGTATCAGCACCGAGCAGTCGAAGCCTCGTAATAATAGCATGCGTGAAATATCGCGTCGGCTGATCCGCGGGCATGTGGGGCTTAACGAAGAAAAAGGAAGAAAGCAGGGGATGTGCTGGTTTTATTTCGCAGCGCGCGTCTTTAATGACAGGTTGAAGAGCGCGCCATTCGAAAGAGATCGGTGCTCGCGTTGCGAGAATCATTCAGTTGCGTCATAGCGTAGCCAGCGATGATCCTGCGATCTTTCGATGCGAGATCCATTCGGTAGTCTGATGTCATCGACGCCGATACTCAAATTCAAAATATCTCTATCGCGTAGACGTGCGTACCGATGTGCGAACCGGTCGTTCCTGAAATCATAGAAGCACGTGCCACGATGAAATCATCCAGTTGGATGTTTTTGTTTATCTGACTCTGACTCCGTCTCTCTCTCTCTCTCTCTCGTTCGCTCTTCGTTAGTCTAGAAATCGCAGCAATCCCACCAATGGACCCAAGTATGATCTGTAGAGTGGTTCGGAGTAGCGGGTCCTTGGGTCTTTGTGTCCAAATGGTTCCACGTTGTCCAGAGACACTGGAACAGTCTGTTCGGACTGAAGTCAGCCGGTCGACTACGAGGTGCAAGCTCAAGAAGCTGATGATCTGGCATCGGATCGATTCCGAGGGATTTTTGCTGATCGCCATTCCGGATTCACCTCCCGTTCGCGAAACGGTGTCTCGTTTGTAAAATTCTATCACGTAGCGCTTTGACTCCTGACACCGAACGGAGCGCGTGCTGGCTGTAGGAGCACTGTGACGCTGAGCGTCATGTGGACTCATGTAGGATGTCTCCGTGGGTCTGGGGGCGTTCACAGGTGGGAGGCCGAGGGGTGTCATAGCGAAAGAATGGTAAACCAGTGAAGAGAGTCAGAGAAATGTGGGCGTTTGAGAATCGTGAAACAAAGTAGTTCCTATTGTGGACGTTAGGGGGCAAAGGCGGTGGGGGGGG